TACCGTAAAAAATAACGTGACCTTGTCATAATTATTGACGAAAATTCGTGATTTTCTTTATAATAAAAAAGAGTTAATTGCATCATATGTTCCCAAACTATGATATTTATTTTAAATTAATCTTTGAATTTTTAAATATTTTAATTTCATCCTCACACTATTATACTCATTTTTAAATTGGTCCTTAAACTTTTGAATAATCCAATTTCATCCTCCAACTATGACCCTTATTTTAAATTAGTCCCTAAACTTTTAAACCTTCTAATTTCATTTCCAAATCCATCCAAATATGTAATTAATTATAACCATAATTCAACTTAAACTTTTTTTCAAACATATAATATCATAACTTGACCTAAAGATTTTATTAACATGGAATGTGATTAGTATATATATAATTTGGGATGAAATTGAAATGTTTAAAATTTTTGGGGACCAATTTGGAATGAAACATATATGTTGGGGGTGATACTAAAATTTTCAAAAGTTTAAGGAATAGTTTAGAATATAGTCATAGTTTAAGGATGAAATTGAAACATTTATAAGTTTAAGGACTAATTTGGAATGAGAATCATAGTTTAAGGGCATATATTGCAATGAACTCATAAAATAATGAAGAATAGTAGTAGTAGGTAAACTAGCTCTGAATCCTCTGATTCTAAAACAGACTAATCTACAGGAAGAAGATTGACCGAAAAGTCTTTATTTAATATTTTTTTTATAAAGAAATCTTTATTTAATATTGTATTTTTTATATTAAATAATTCTAATCTTAATTGACTATTTAGAAGAGATTTTAAGATTTAATGTTAATTAAAAGAAAAATGATTTTCTTTATTAGTAAGGGTATTCAAATAGTCGGCTCAATTACTAAGGTTTTTAAACTTTTTAATCATTTATCAAATTATATATATTTTTAAAAATCATTAGTTGAATCAAGGGCAACTATTTTGATCGATTTTTAAATTAATCAATTTTTTATAATATTTTTAAATTTTGATTTAAATTAACAATTTAAGTAGCAATAAGTTGAAAATGAATTTTTTTAGTTAAATATTTTTATTTCTAATCTTTATATTTTTCCTTTTAAGGTTGGAGTTGATATTGTGATTAAAATATAAATATGGAATTAAACGTCATGGGTCTTTAATGGGATTTAGGCTTAAAATTACAAATGTGTTAGTAATATATTGAAATTTTAATTAATTTAATTAATTAATTTTAAACTAAACTAATTAATAATCAAATTCTTTAACGTTTACCAACTAAATACTTCGGTATTTGATCGATTAATCAAATTAAATTTTATTTCATCTATTAGTTTAATTGAATGAACAATGAACACCTTTATTTGTCAACACATTATAAATTTAAGGATAAATTATATGTTTAGTACCTAAACTATCAGTTTTGGTCTATTTAGCACCTAAATTTTTTAGTTTTTTCAAAATCATGCCTAACGTTTAATTTTTGTTTCGTTTTAGTTCCTCGTTGTTAAAAACTTAACGGGTGAATTGCACGTGGCACCTTTTATGGGCAAATTGCATCATTCATCACTCAACTATCTTCTCACTCCTATTTTTGTCGCTATAGTTTAATTTTTTAATTTAGTTACTTAACCTTCAAATCACACCTAATTTGATCACTCTAACTTTCAAATTTATTTTTTTATTTTTAATTATATATTAATAAAATAATAATAATAAATTTCATACCACAAAATTTATTAATAAAATAAATTAGAGTGACTGAAATATGAGCAATTTGAAAGTTGAGTATTAAATTGAAAATTTTTAAACTTTATTACCAAGATAGAAGTGAGAAGATAGTTGGGTGATGAATGATGTAATTTATCCACTGAAAGAATGTAGTGTGTTTTTAAAGGCAATGTACTAAAATGAAACAAAAATTAAACATTAGATATGATTTTAAAAAAAATAAAAGTTTAGATACTAAAAGAAACCAAAATTGATAGTTTAAGTACCAAAAACATAGTATACCCTAAATTTAATTGACAATCGATCACACATAACAACAAAGTGCATTAAACTAGGAATTAGAAATCAAATTCTAATTTCAAGACGACATTATTAAGAAAAGAATAATCACATTCCCTAAACGTTCACATTATTTTAAATTGTGTGTGGTCCATATTCATTGGATACCTAGAGCTTCCCTTCTTTTACTTGAGAAAAATCAAAGTGCTGTCATCATCTGTGACGGTCCACTCCATTATATTTAAAGAAATTTAAACTTTGGTCTATATTATTAGTGCATGTAAGTTTCCCAGAAAATTCATACAAGACCCACCTCCACTAATATATCCCCAAGTCTCGCGGGTTCTCCAAAGTAGCCGATGATCAACCATGGCTCTGATCAATATTATGTTAGCTTCGAAGAGGCGACGCCGTCGAAAGAACCCCGGATCTTCGCTCTTTGTTCCCGGATCGATAAGCTCGGCAAGGTCCTCATCGCCGGAGCCGGAGCAGGAACAGTTGGATTTTTTCGATGGATGGTCTGCTGATTGTCTGGTAGTGGTACTGGTAGTAGTTGTTTCGTATTCTTACTTGCTATACCTTTCAATCTTTGGGTAAGCTTCAAGTATGTAACAGGCAAACTGCCTTTGTATAGTTTGTTTTTCTACCTTTTGATTTTGATACAATTTTCTTCAGTTTGTAACACATGAAGACCATGGGTTCATATCAGTTAGGGTTGAAGGAGTGAGTAAATAATTTGTATAAAAATCTTGTTAAAAGAATGATTGTTGTTCCTAGAGGTCATATGTTCGAGCATCAATGACCGTAACAAGGTGATTAAATGTCCATTGTTAAATGGTTGAATGTATTTAGAATAAATACTACTTTGTAATCACCTTAACTTGATAAAAAATATTATTTTTTTTCTCAATGGATTATTGCATTAAAATGTTCGATTTGGTTTTTTTGTCAAAATGATCGAAATTCTATTCATCATAGAAATTTTAATTTTAAACTTATGAGAAATCTCTATAGTTTGGTGCTACTTTGATGAGTCTTTAATTATTACAAAATGGTCATTCAACTATTCATATGTTTCAAACTCGTCATTTTTCGTTATAATTGAGATATGCTAGTTGTTTGAGATTCTTAGGTCAGATTTTATTATATAACAGTCAACAGATTAATGATCAACTCACATTGCCGTCAAATTTTTAACAGAAAAAAGATTAGTTTGAAACATATGAATAGTCGAGTGACTCAACAGAACAATCTCCTATAGTCAAATGACTATTTTTGTAACTTTGAATAGTTAGGGGTTCAAAATGGACGTTATGCTTTGACAATGGCTTTAAGATTATGATAATAAAAATCATGATTTTTGACCAAGAAAAAAATGTATACATTCTCAAATATGATAATTTTAGGTATACGACAGGATATTAGTGAACATAACATGAATAGAAGCAAGTAGAAAATTACTAAAATTAAATAGAAATGCACTAAATGGCTGCAAACAATGCTAAAAAGCACAAGCTCATATATCATGAGCTAGCATTCTAGTTTCCGATAATATAACTTATCTGTATCAGACTAGATAATTCTTTGTTAACTAAATGGATTTACGGATTCTATTAAGAATAATCTATCCCTTTAGAAAGGGGATTATAAAATATTTTGGTGCGACATTGAACGATTCGTCAACAGTCATTTCGTCTGAGCTTACTTATTTATTATTATTATTATTACTACTACTATTATTATCATTATTAAATAATAATATTACAAAAAAATACAATAAATCGGAACCATTTACAATTCAATCACGGAGGCCCAACAAACAGCAGATCCAAGCCCAAACCCGGAAGCCCAACTGATGATCCAGAAGGCCCAGAACCAGTAGCTAGGGTTTCATCATTTTCTCCAGCCGCCGCAGATCTCAACTGTTGGATCTGGAGAGATCCAATGGCCCAGATTGATCCAACAAAAACCCTAGGGTATCATTATATACCACCCTAAAGCTATTTCGGTCGCAACCTCCAGATGGTCCAACCAGCTGCTGCCATGCCACCACCGTCTCAACAGAAGACTCCAGAAGATAAAGGAGGACTGCACACCTCATATACCCTAGAGTGAGTTACCACCGTAGCTCCGGTTACTCATCGGGTTTCATCATTGCAACTGGTCCAAAAGGCGCATCTCGAGGCCTATAAAGGGCTATTCATCGAACTTGCAAAGGAGACAGAAGAGAGACGGCGAGAAACAGAGCAAAAACCAATACAACAATCAAAGCAATGAAAGAAAAACATAAAGGAAAAAGAGAATAGGAGGAGATATTATCTTCGTCGAAGCCCAAACGTCATCGGAAAAGCCATTTTACCGAAGGTAAAATCTCAGATCTAGGCCGATTGGGAGGTTTATAGGATAAAAGAAGGTTAGATTCGGGTTTAGGGAATTCAGGCTTCGATTCAATCTATTGTGTAAATTTCGGCCACTATGAACGGTGAACGATAGTGACTGTCGGTGTCGGCGATCGACGACCGACCGGTGGACTGATTCCCACTGGTGAGGGAATCCTAGAGAGAAGGGAGAGCTTCTCTCTCTAAAAGAGAGAAGCAAAGTGAGAAAATGGAGAGAAATGGCCATTTAGAGTTGGTTATAACTATAGTCGAGGGACCATTTTTGTACTTTATCATTTTTTATTAATACAAGACGATTACAAGATAATATATATCCAAAATTTTAATAGTCAAATGAGTGCACACACCTTGTAAATATAAATCTTTGAACTCGAAACCTCAAAAGATAATAACACTATCTTTTATCATGTAATCTTACATTTCTGCTAAACGAACCAAATACAACAATACAACATTCTCAGTAATGTATTAGTTAATTTTACATTCCGATAATCTTATTCCCGCTGATAATCTTACATTCCGTGAACCAAACGTATATTTATGCTATCAACCAAACACTACCTCAAATATTTATAGTTATCTACCGAAACGCCTACTTCTACATTCTCCTATATTTCAGCTTCAGCGCCGGCGCCTTGCCCTAAAACCACCTGTACCCACCACCGCCCTTAAAACGAAGCAGCTTCTTAAAAAAACCCTAACTAAAGTAAGCCCTTTGCTTTCTCTCCTCTTTAGTCAGCCCTTATATTCATATATAATACGTATGCTTATGCATTGCTTTGTTTTCCTTTTGTACATTCAGAATAATGGCCGACAAGGCTGTTACCATAAGAACTAGGAAGTTTATGACCAACAGGCTCCTCTCAAGGAAACAATTCGTGGGTTATTTTGAAGTTTTAGTTCTCATTTGTTTTTTTCCCCTTAGGTTGTTTTGTACTGTTTGTCTACTGAGAAAGTGTATGAAGAACTTGAAAAGTAGGAGATTTGACAATTTGGGTTTTTGTTGAAAACTTTGAAAGTTGCCATCTTTAACTTTTCTGTGATTTTGGTACAGATCATCGATGTTCTCCATCCTGGGAGACCAAACGTTTCAAAGGTAATTTTAGTGGGTTAGTTGTTTTTGTTTAAGGTTCTCAATGTGATTGTGTACATATTAACTCGTTTCAGTAATGAACTCGAATGTAGGCTGAGTTGAAGGAGAAATTGTCCAGGATGTACGAAGTAAAAGACCCGAATTCCATTTTTGTATTCAAGTTCCGTACTCACTTTGGAGGAGGGAAATCAACTGGTTTTGGGCTTATTTATGACTCAGTTGAGAATGCCAAGAAGTACGAGCCTAAGTACCGCTTGATCAGGGTAAAAAACTGCGATTTTCGATGTTCATATTTCGGTTTAAGCATTCAGATTGATGGTCAATTTGATATTCACCTGAAGTTTCTTTATGTTTACTGTTGAATTTGATTTGTCTAGTTGAAGAATCACTTGGTGTTGTTTCACCTCGCCAATTATGGTTTAGGGCTTCAAGAGATCAAATTATATATATTACATGTGAATGCTGCATTCATTTTTGTAACTTTTAGCATTTGGCAACTTTGGTTTAGATTCCCAGTAGTAGGATCTCAAGAACTGCTTCAGTAAGTCTTGTTCGTTCGTTCGGATTGAATATAGTGTAATTTATAAGCGAGGAATCCATATTTTGCATATAAAAGAAATGTAAGTTAAATGTCAAATGAGAAGCTTCAAAATCTTTGCTGATTCTAACTTTAGATTAATTCAGTTTATCGCCAAGAAGTCACCATAGATGGCATTACCTATGCTCTTTGCTATTATCCTATGAAGTTGATAACTTTACTTTTGGTTTGAGTTCATAATGTAGAAAATAAGTTTTACAGAGGTCATTAGAACAAGTTGTGTCTCCTGCATCAAATGCATCTTTAACTCTTTGTTCGTGGCGTCAGACGAGAATATCTCGTGCTTTCGAGGGGTAACACGAGTAATGAAAACAATAGCTTCCATCGAGTTTTACAAGTCTTGCACTTGTAATGGAATGAGTGCGTGAGCTAATATGCACATACACGCTTTGCACATCGATACTGAAGCTCTTGTCTGCTGATGATGACAGAACGGACTCGATACCAAGGTTGAGAAGTCTAGAAAGCAGATGAAGGAAAGGAAAAACAGGGCCAAGAAGGTCAGAGGTGTAAAGAAGGTAAATCGGGATGCTACATTTTCGACTATTCTTTTTCTGAAATTTATATCGTCGGTTAATTGCGATATCGCCCACATTGCAGACCAAGGCCGGAGATGCTGCCAAGAAGAAGTGAGATCCCATAGGCATGAGACCAACCCCTTATTTACCTCACCATTTCTGTTGTTTGCCATTGAACTTCATTTAGTGCTGAGCTCATTTTCTTCTTTACTGAGTATCCATTTGAAGTTTATATTCTGGACTGACTTTACCTGTTGCTATGGAGATTTAATCTGAAATGAATTTTTGGGGTTGAAAATTGAATTCTATTATCAGTACTTTTGGGGGTGTTTGGTTCAAGGAATGTCCCATGTTTGGTTGGCCGGAAATCTCATTCCCGGTAATGTTTTATTACCAATAATAGATTTTTTGGGTATATTACTGGGAATGTCATTACCTCTCTTTCCTTAGGTATTGTAATATTACCGGCGTTTTAGACTAAAATGCCCTTAAATTTTTATTTTTTTTCAAAATTATCATTCTTCTATAATTGAATAATAAAAATTCTACGAATGTTAAATTATAAAATTATCCTTAAATTATTTTATATTTACAAAAAAAAATCTATAATTAAAATTTTATATGAAGTTCAGGGGTTAAAAAAATTTTTACCCTTTCATTAAACATTTTTTATATTTTTAATTTTAAAAAAAATATATATAAATATTATGAATTTAATTTTTTAAAGAAAATATATAAATATTTTACAATTTGTAATATTATACAAATATATAATAAGGACAATTTGGTCAAATATATATTCCAATAATCTTTTATTCCTTTAACTAAACACGGTAATCTTACATTCCTGCTAAACCAACTAAACACAAAATACAACATTCCCAGTAATCCGATTCTCTGGTAATCTTTTATTCCCACTGGTAATCTTACATTCCGTGAATCAAACGCACCGTTTATGTCACTTGATGCATGTTTCACCCTTTTTTTTATTGATTTTCTTAGGGTAAATTACGAATTTAGTACCTAAATTTTCAATTTTTTTAAAATCACAACTAATGTTTAGTTTTTATTTCATTTTAGTATCTATCGTTAAAATTTTTACCAAACCTTTGCACATGGCTTTTTATGGGTAAATTATATCATTCATTCCTTAATTATCTTTTCACTCCTATTTTGGTCACTAAAGTTAACAAATTTTCAATTTAAGTACTCAATATTCAAATTGCTCATGTTTTAACTATTCTAATTTATTTTATTAATAATATTTTGTGAGGTGATATTTTTTTATTATTTTGTTAATATATAATTAAAATAAAAAAAAGTAAATTTGAAAGTTAGAGATTAAATTAAGAGTAATTTAAAAATTAAATAATTAAATTTTTAATGACCAAAATAAGAATGAAAAGATAGTTGAGAGACGAATAATGTAATATACCCATAAAAAAATGCTAAGTTGTAACAGTCCAGTATTTTATTAACAACGGGTATTAAAATGAATTAAAGTTGATAGTTTAGATATTAAACATAAAATTTACCCATTTTCATAATACATCCATTGATGATGACACTCATTTAGTTAAGAGGAAGGGCCAGTAAAAAGAACCGAAGCGAAACCCACCATTGAGATTTGCTTTCCCAAACCTATTAATCCTAAAAACTTATTTCATATGACAAGATAAAATAGTAGAATAAAACTTTAAATTAAGAAATTTATGGACCATCCATATCATGTCATGTTATGTCATATCATATCATGTTATCATCTTTGATTGTCATTGTCGCATGTCACAAGATAAATCTAACCATTTATAACACATTTGTATTATACACTTATACATTGGATTGATTTTTGATACAATGTTAGTGCTCTGTTTGTGTATATTGTAATGATGTATTTTTGTTGGAGTTGTACGATTATATTAATTATAATCAGGGTAAAGTATACTAATAATCATAATATACTGTTTTATTAAGTCTATTGAATATAAAAAATCATAAAATGATTCATCGATTATAATAAGTTGTTTCGTTGGGTCTTTTAACTATTAAAAAATTATAAAATAATCCCTCAATTATTTTTTATGTTTTAAACTCGTTATTTTTCATTAAAAAATTAACGAACGTCTAAACTGAATGTTAACATGTTGACTAAGATATGATAGTCATTTGAGATTATAATATCATATTTTATCATATCTCAATCAGCAGGTTAACGTACAACTCATACTACCATCAAGATTTTAATGAAAAATGATGAGTTTAGAGCCTAATGAATAGTGGGGTGGCCGTTTTGTAACTTTTAATAGTTTAGGTACTCAACAAAATAACTCTCTATAAAAATATTTTAATATCAGTCATTACTTGATATATTAATTTTGAAAAATATATTTTAAATAATCAATCTATTTTAACCTTAATTTAGTGGCCCATATTTAAATTTCCACCCAATGGAAAACATCATTATGGCAACTCTCATCCACACGTGCCCGAACCTTGCACCCTTCAAATTCAATGGGTCCCATTAGGCCTGTAAAAAGCTGACCCGACCTGTAAAACTGACTGAAACCGATCCGAGTCAAAATTATTTTTGACCTGTGCTGTGGCGATCCGAAATCGACTCGAGTCGGAACTGATGTTGACTTGAACCCGAGTTGGACCTGGAAATTGTGGATCCGAACTTGACCTGCATTCGACCTGAGAACGACCTGAACCCGAATTGAACCGAAAATATGATACCCGAACCCGAACTGCATCCGACTGATATGAACCCGAACCCGAGATTGACCTGGTAAATAACTGGTATTACCCGACCTGTTTTCAACCTGACATGTTTTCAACCTGACTTATTTTTAACTTGACATGTTTTCAACCTGACCTGTTTTTAACCTGACCTGTAAATGATCCAATTTGTTAATGACCTTATCTAATATTTACCTGACTTATATATTACCATGGATGAAATTATAAGATTTTAATAAAATTATGAGTTTTTTAGTTTATGATATAATTAAAAAATTAATATGATTACTTTTTAAATGTTATAATAAAATATTTATTTTGATAATTAAATTAATAAATAGACATATTATATAAAATTATTTAATAAATTTAAAAAATTATTTAAAAGTAAATTAGATAAAACATGATTAATAATGTAAAGGAAAATTAATATAGTTTAATTTATATAAATTATATAGTTTAATTTATATAAAGACAAAATAATATTAATAATGAAATTATTTATTATGTAATATATATTAACGTTTTGCATTATTAATATAAATAATTTTGGCAATACATTAGTTTACAAAGACCAATACATAAGCCCACTCTTTTATTACAAATATATATGCATTAGTGTTAGTCCATTTAAATTAGGGTTTATGGTTTAGTGTTTATGGTTTAAAGTTTAGAATTAGGGTTTATGATTTAGGATTTAGGGTTTCTATAAACTATATATTTTATTACTTTATATAGTTTATGCATAGTATTTCTATAAACTATATAAGTAGTTTATTTTATATAGTTTATATATACTATACATGGTTTATACATACATATTATATAAAATTATTTAATAAAATTAATAAAACTATTTAAATGTAAATTATATAAAACATGATTAATTATGTGTTAAATAATTAGTATGTCACATTGCATATTATATTGTTCATAAATAGTAGTACATGTCATATTAATTTCATTTGCATAATTAATATTTCAGTTGCATGTTAGGTTAATTTACATTAATAGTCCATTTATTTTGTTATTATGAATAAGTAATAATAAAACCCAAAAAAAGTCCATATGCTATAGTGCTAGTCCATTAACATTAATTTAGATAGGCCCAATGCAAGTCAACTCTTTTATTACAAATATATATGCATTAGTGATAGTCCATTTACATTTTAAATTTATTTCGATTTAGTCCCTTACCTATGTGTGTTGTTTAATTTATATTTTAAGATTTTATTTGTAATTTTACATTTCTTCAATTTTGTCATTAATTTTATTTTTTTTACAAAATTGATCCATGATTATTTATTTTTCTCTTATTTTACTCGAAATCAAATACAATTACAACTTCCAATTCAACAATCACGAAAGATGAAAAATTAATTAATCCAAAAAATAAAAATGACCCGACCTGAACTCAATCCGTATTCGATAAACATCCGACCTGAATTTTATCTGTCAATGATGTGACCCGATCTGAACGAGATCCGACTGAAGTCAACCCGAACCTGAATTAACCTGGTATTTATCTGCTTAGGACCTGAATTGTTTTGACCTGAACTGAAATCGATCCGAACTGAAAATGACCCGACCTGAACCCGATCTGGATCTGGTGTCAAATCAACCTGAAAATAACCCGAACTGATTTGACCTGACCTGAACCCGATCTGGATCTGGTGCAAATCAACCTAAATTGACCTGTATCCGATTTTACCCGACCTGCCAAGATCCGACTAAAACCTGACCGATTACCTATTTTTACAGCCCTAGGTCCCACACTCCAGTAATGGCCCTATTTCATTTACCAATCAAAAACTCCGCAATAAACCGTTCTCTATTTATCGTCCGTTTATGGGACGGAGTTAAAATTACAAGTTATTAAAAATATTTTAGTATAAATTACGTATTTAATACATAAACTATTAATTTTAATACTTAAACTTTCATTTAGACTTTATTTCAATTTAGTTCCAATTTGTTAAAAACTTAACCCGTTTAGTACTTAAATATTATTTTTTGTCTATTTTAGTACTTTCAATTTTTTTTCAAAACTTAAACGTTAAATTTTGAACAAGATACTAAAATAAAACAAAAACTAAATTTTTTTACGACAAAGTATTAAAATGAAATAAAAACTAAACTTTAGGTATGATTTTAAAAAATTAACAATTTAAATACTAAAGAAGACCAAAACTAATAATTTAAGTACTAAACTCGTAATATACCCAATATTTTACTATTAACTGTCTTAATTTTAATAATATTTTTAAACTTTATATTTATATATTAATTAATAATCAAAGATAATTGATCGACTAAGATTTTTAACATTTTAAAAATATTTGTTTATTTTTATTGATAATATATTTTTTAGTTTAAAATTCTGTAAATATACCTCTTCACTATAAATTTTATGTCTTTTAATATTTTAAAATAAAATAACAATTTCTAATAGTCATACTAATATAAATTTAATAAAATTTAAAAATTGT